TTTGTCTATAATTTATTTTGATAAATAGACTATCAAGGACGCAGAATACTAGTAAAAATACTTACGTAGGTACTAGGTATTTAAATCTACAGTCTACCTATAGGAAGGGTCGACAAGTAAATTCTATTGGAKTCCAAAAGATTAAATTAATAAATAAATGAGGTCCAATGAAAACAATTTTTCCTAACTTTATGTTTTTATAATATTAATACGAAGACTAAGAAATGTTGACAATCCAGCTTTCTGCCTTTTACGTCCGACCTCGGATCGTGGACAGCCAGTTTACCACCGTTGACCTATATACATGGGCATGATATTATAGGTGTTAGTTATACACAAACATGCCTAGGTATGACGGAGTCYCACTCTTTTACCCACAGTACAAGAGTGAAACTACCGTTAGAAAATAGTTCCTATGTTCAGTGAATTTACAAAATCAAATTTAAAATTGAATAAAAAGTGGTCGTTGGTTCAGTTGCTTGCTGTGAGAAATTTACATTTAAGTTATTATCACACCGTCATTGTGTCGGCCCCTCCGTCGCAACATAAGCACACGGAAAAATAATTCATCCATAATTCACATCGAAACAAGTCTATATTCTGCCCACGTTACCTATTCACGCAATATAAGAATATGATTAGGTCTGTGTTTTAGTTTCGTCTCATTTTTTGGTGCTGAACGCGGCGGCGTACACGACGTCACCGTTGTGCGGTACAGGTTGTCGGGCAAAAAACTGGCTGGGCTCGACCTCGTCGGGTGGACTGAACTTGTGGCCAACGGTGTCCACGGAGAGATGGGAGGCGCCTTCGCCATTGGTGTATTTTCCCTTGAAGATAAAATTGTAAACGGATCTGGGCACGATGGTGCTGAGTGGGCGCAAACCSGCTGGCGGATCCTTGGTAAACGGTGGTACCAGTTTGCCGTTGTTTAGCGACACAGTTAAAAATTTCAGGTAAAGGTCACGTTCTTCACGCATGTCGTCGCTATCCTTCATAGTGTCCATCCTGTGCAAAATATACGGCCCAAGTATCACCATGAATTGTTAATTAAACATTAATTATAGATAGGTACCTATGTCTGCATAAGTAAGTACTCGGTGACACACATATGAGGTGGGTGGGTGGGGGTTAACGGATCAATAAATTTTCRTAGTGACAAAATTAATAACCTTTCGATCCACGTGTACACTTTGGCGCGTTCTTTGACCGACATAAGTTGCGCGAGCACAATCGCATATTGGCGGTCGCAGGCGTACGATTCGTCCGAGAAAACGGTCAGTGGTTCGACCGCCAAAGGTTTCTTTTCTCCCAAGTCGGAGTTTGGCGATGATTGTTTGGTCGTGTCCTCAGTACCA